AATTCAAGAATTAATTGGACCGCAGTCATGCATTACGCATCCATGCACGAAATCCAACTAATCTCGAACGGGAAACTAAGTGTTACTAAACATAAAAATAAAAGCACGAAGTTAATTTCAATTAACTTCGTACATCACAACAGATTGTACTACGTTACGCACAACATAATATAAATATAACTTCACAAGAACATTTTAAACATATATAAAACAAATAAAATACATTCTCAATCGTTCTCCACCAATCGCTAATTACAAATATCCCTAACGAAAACAAATTAAAAAACCTTAGTACGAACTTAAATTAATACTTTTAAACTAATGACGAAAAATACTTACCCAATCAATGTATTGAAATCCTAGCAGCAGCAGAGAGGTTGAGAGAGAGGCAGAGGCAGAATGCTTTGTTTTTGCATTCTGCCTCTGCAATGGCAGAATTCTAATATGAAGAAGAAGGACTTTGCGCGACGAACATACTTATTCGTCGCGCAAAGTCCCGTCGCAAAAAACCAAATTATTCGTCGCGCAAACCCTTTTTTTTCGTCGCGCAAACACCTGCCGACATCTAACTTTTGCGCGACGCTTGGTACTTTTCGTCGCGCAACATTGTCGCGCAAAAACATAATTCCGTCGCGCAAAACAAGGTATTCGTCGCGTAAACGTTGAACTTTACGCGACGAAACGTCAGTACGTCGCGCAAAAAAAATATCCCACACAGGTCATTTTTGGCGCCAAAAAATAAAATATCTCTTGTTCTCTTACGCGACGAAACGTCTTTCCGTCGCGCTAAATCAGGGGACTGTCCTATTTGCGCGACGGATAATTTGTTCGTCGCGCAATGTTGCCTTCAGCGACGATATTTCTCGTCGCGCAAATGTTTCGCGCTAAAAAAATTCCCCGCTCTTTTTTAACTCAGTTTGCGCGACGAAAAATGTTTTTTGTCGCGCATATACATTTTGCGTGACGAAATAGTTTGGTGGCGCAAATTTTCAGTGTATTGCGCGACGAAAATGTATTTTCGTCGCGCAATTATTGTTTGCGCGACGAGTTGATCTTCGTCGCGCAATGTTTCGTCGCGCAAATAGTGAAACGTAGTAGTGTATGTAAAGATGACGCTATTTATAAAAAACCGTCGTCTATTATATATAATAGATGACGCTTTTTATAAAAACTATCGTCTATTATATGTAAAGATGACGTTTTTTATATAAAAAACCGTCGTCTATTATATATAATAGATGACGCTTTTTATAAAAACCGTCGTCTATTATATATAATAGATGACGCTTTTTAAAGAAAAACCATCGTCTATTATATGTAAAGATGACGCTTTTTATAAAAAAAACTGTCGTCTATTATATGTAAAGATGACAATTTTTATAAAAACCGTCGTCTATTATGAAGTAAAGATGACGGTTTTATAAAATGGTCGTCTATTATTTATAAAGATGACGTTTTTTTATAAAAAATGGTCGTCTATTATTTGTAAAAATGACGCTTTTTATAATAAAAAAAGGTCGTCTATTATATGTAAAGATGATGGTTTGTTAAAATAACCGTTAAATCATGATTTTTCATTTATAACCGTCGAAATTTTTTGTCCCGTTACTTGATCTCTGAATGTTTATTTTTTCCGATTTTTTGTGTATATAATCTCGAAGTATAAACAAACAAGTTTGATGGTTGGATCATTGAAACTAGTTTCTTAGAATGCGTATGCCCTCAAAACAATATATTCACTAACAATTAAGAGTTTATTTATACTTTCGTTAAATATAACATAAGATTTTGTGATATCCACTAGTGTCGTCTATTATATGTAAAGATGATGGTTTGTTTAAAAAAGGGTCGTCTATTATGAAATAAAGATGACGCTTTTTATAAAAACCGTCGTCTATTATATGTAAAGATGACGATTTTTATACAAACTGTTGTCTATTATATGTAAAGATGACGCTTTTTATAAAACCGTCGTCTATTATATGTAAAGATGACGTTTTTTATAAAACAACCGTCGTCTATTATATGTAAAGATAACGCTGTTTATAAAAATCGTCGTCTATTATATGTAAAGATAACGCTGTTTATAAAAAACCGTCGTATATTATATGAAAAGATGACGCTTTTTATAAAAACCGTCGTCTATTATGTGTAAAGATGACAATTTTTTTTATAAAAAAAAGCGTCGTCTTTTAAAATATGCTAAAAAATGGGTGCTTAAGTGAATTCGCGCTCGACAAATTTTCAAATTTTCACCCGTCTTTGAAAACCTTATCTCTCATTAACAAGCGTCGTCTTTTAAAACACGTTAAAAAAAGGCTACTTAAGTGAATTCGCGCTTGACAAATTTTCAGATTTTTCCCCCGTCTTTGAAAACCTTATCTCTCCCTCCTTGAAACCCTCCTGCACTCTCTAAAACACCCTCATGAAACTCTCTACAAAATCATCAAAAAATCGATATCAATGAAGGAGTTGAGAGATTGAGGTCTTCGCAGATCCATAAGATGTAGAGGGATGTTCTGTATTTGAGAATCAAAGCTGGTTGAAAGGTTTGATTTGAAAGTCACCTAATCTCTTAATACCCTTCTATATCTTGCTAGTGAATTGTAGATTAGTCTCTTTGCGTTTCTGGTATGTTCTTTGTCTCCCTAATTTTAGATTTTGTCTCTCTTGATTTGTCTGGTTTGTTTACATATTTTTTTTATATTTCTAGTTTCTTTTTAGATTTTCTGATTTGGTTATCAGGAGATGAGGAGGAAGCTTGCAGATTTATAACTTTTTCTTTTGTAGGTTTTCTATGTGAGTCATATGTTTTTTTGTTGTTGAAAATTTGCAGGTTCTCGATGGTCTTTTTTATGCTCATTTTACAAGTTTTCTATGGAAATATGGACCAATGGTAAAATTTCTCTTCCACCTAATTTTTTATGTTTATAATCTTTGTTTTTTTTTTTTCTCTTTGTCATTTTGATTTATTTACAGGGATGATGGAGGAGACTTCAGTTGTGCATCATTTGTATGTTTGGATGAGGAATGCTTGGATTAGGAGTACGTAGGTCTTGTTAGGAATTATGTTTGTTGTAGAATAAAGATTGGTTAACTATGTAATAACTATTGAATCTTCAAGTTTTATGAAAGAAACTATTTTTGAGTGTATATATTCATTAATAAAGCATTATGGTTGGTTTTATAGTTAAAATCGTTGTATAGCATCATAGGAAATAAAAAAGAACTAAAATGTAGTAGTTTGGAAACTTATTAGACGACGATTTTTATAATAAATCATGGTCTTTACAGATAATTAACGACGATTTTTATAAAAAAAAAGGTCGTCTATTATATGTAAAGATGACGCTTTTTATAAAAAAAAACCATCGTCTATTATATGTAAAGATGACGATTTTTATACAAACCGTCGTCTATTATATGTAAAGATGACGCTTTTTATAAAAAAAATTGTCGTCTATTATATGTAAAGATGACGCTTTTTATAAAAACTGTCGTCTATTATGAAGTAAAGATGACGCTTTTTATAAAAACCATCATCTACTATATGTAAAGATGACGCTTTTTATAAAAAAAACTGTCGTCTATTATATGTAAAGATGACGCTTTTTATAAAAAAACCGTCGTCTATTATATGTAAAGATGACATTTTTTTATAATAAAAACCGTCGTCTATTATATATAAAGATGACGGTTTTTATAAAACAACCGTCGTCTTTATAAACAATCCACGACGGTTTTCATAAAAAATCGTCCTCTTTACATACAATACACGACGGTTTTATTAAAAATAGTCGTCTTTTCTCCTATAATTAATGATCTTTATCTCTAAACAACGACGATTTTCTTTAAAAACCGTCGCCATTACAGATAAACAACGACGGTGAAAAGCCGTCGTAGTTTGACACCCAAATAGATGTCGGTCGATTTCACGATGGTTTGAAAACCAAATACACGACGGTGAATTCCCGTTATCTTTTGCCTTTTTTTGTAGTAGTGAGTGTTATCCTAATTGCAATTAAGTTTTTCTTTATAGCTCTATTTTAGGGACTTTTCTAGCATTTGCCCTAGTATAAATACAAGACTTCTCAGCAATTATATACAACATAAAAATAAAAGAAAAAAGGCTAAAGATTGAAAACAGAATGAAGCTAATGAAAAGAAGAAAAGAAAAAGAAAAAGTAGAGGTACCCTAAACTATAATTTTTTATTTGCATTGAAATTTCCAGTCACAACCAATGTTTTGAAAGGCATGCCTAAGCGCGCCTGAGAGCGTGAGGCGAAGCGAGGCGATGGTAAAACGCCTCAAGCGTACCTCTGTTTAGCGATTGTTGTTAAAGGCATACGCCAAGTTACGGTGGCGTACGCCAAATTCCAAATGCGTACGCGCGAAATTGCAGGGGCGTTGCAGAGCGGAGAAGAAGACGATGAAACCTAACTTTATTTCTCTCAAAACGATCCCGTATGGTACAGCTTTTGTGTTTAAAAAGTCAAGCAAAACGCCAGCGTTTCAACATCTGTGGTTTTTAAGTTTAAGAACATAACATAAGCTCAGGTCTCACTTCTTCCATTCCTTCACAATAAAAAATTATTATATTAATTAGTCCCTCCTGTGCCTTTTATATTCTGCTCTCACCCAATAGAAGGTTCACAAAAATCAGATTTCCCTCTCTTTCAATTTTGACTAGCTCTCAGCCATATCCACCCACATATTTCTAATGGAAGCCTCTCTTTCAATCTATTCAAACAAGATGTGAATCCTATCTTATAAATTTGAATTCATATCCAGTCTATAACAGTCTAAATTAATTTGGAGCTTAAAAAGAGGCTTGAGATGTTTCAATTTATGCATCAATGACCTCACAACATATATGGATCATATATTTTACATATTATAAATATACTAATATATTTTTATTTGTGATAATTGAATGTTCAAAAGGCTTGCGCCTTATTGCCTCGAGGCTTACGCCTCGCTTTGCGAGACATAAAACGCCTCACTTCAACGCCTCGCCTTTCAAAACATTGGTCACAACAAGGCTTTTACTCCTCTCAAGCTTTTTCTTCCAACACTGGTGCTTCCAACACTGGCATTGCCCCTTCTTCTTCAAATCCACCAACTCTCCCTCCTCCTCTCTCTCCACTCCTTCCTCTTCCCTCTTCCCCACAACTGAAACCATCCTCACCAACCCCTCCTCCTTACTCTTCACCCACAACTTCCTCATCCTCTCCCTTACCTCACACCCCTTCTCCTCATGCCCCCCACCGCAAAACCCGCACTCGACCGCCTTCTCTTTTGCCGCGGTAGTAGCCCGAACGCTCTTCACTTTTTCAAACCCAAAAGCAAGCCTCAAAGCGTCGTTTAACGAACTGGGTTTCTCTGCAACAATCCAATCCTTAAACTCCTTCCTCAACCCATCAATAAAAACCCCTTTGAGCACATTGTCTTGCAGTCCATGATCCGGCCACCGCTTCAAAATCCATTGCAGTCTCAGAAAATAAGAACGCACTGTCTCATCCCTGCCCTGCTTGATCATCGTCAACTCCGACCGCAATTGATCGATCTGATCATACGCCTGAAAGAACAGCGATCTTATTTCTTCCCAACTCAATGAAGGGTAGGGATCAATGTTCAAATCGTACCACAGAGCCGCTTCATTTTCCAGCGTCACCGGGAAGATTCTCACCATCACGTCCACTGTTGGGCAACTGAAATTTGCGCGGCAAATTTTGGCGAACCGGGTTAAATGGGTAACCGGGCATTCGTTCGAACCGCCCCGGAAGATCGGCAGAGGCGCAATGGGTATGTAGTAAGGGGTCTGATTGGTTGTGGGTTCTGAGAAATTTTTAGTCTTTGATGGCAGTGAGGCTCTGGCTTTGATTTGATTACTTGAAGAAACAGACTCGGGCGGTGGTTGTGAGGAGGAGAATTGGTCGCTCGGGGAATTGGTTTCTGATTCTGATGCCAAGTAGATCGATTGATTTTGTGATTGTGAAACTTCGTTGCTGCAATCGTCGTCGTAAGAATTGGAGTTTCGCTTTGTTAGGTAAGCCATTTTGTGAGGAAGGAGAGGTTTGGATTGGGAAACTTGCAAATTTGAACGTCAACAGGTTTTGCCATTTTAGATTTTGAAATGGGATTATTAATTGGGGGCTCTCTGAAAGCAAATGACGGTTTGAGTACATTCTAGGGGAGGCGCGAATGCGGGATTTGGTGGTTTTTGGCCATTGGATCAGATCTGTACAGTTAGTGATTTGCCACGTCAATCCATAGATTTAAAAGAGAAATGGAAAATTAGAACTTTCCAGAACCAGAATAGTGCATGTTGAAAAATGGATTTTTAGGGTTTATACTTCGTTTTATGTATGAATTTTCGCTTGTGTTTTTACAAAGACCTAGTAGTGGATAATTATGGGTTGATTCTAAGAGTGTGAACTGTACAAGTTAACTGAAAACGAAGATTGATAGCTTCGTAAAATTAAGGATGCTCAATATGGAAGGAAATTCCAACAAGCTAAATGATAAGACTTGCTCCTCAAACCAAAGAAAAATATGAGCTCTAGGAACACTAGTGTGGCATTGTCTAAGTTAGATTTTTATTTATTTATTTTTAAGAATGTCTAAGTTAGACACTTTTCAAATACGAATTGAGGTGGAGTTCATGTACCTCAATGTGTTGAAGTTTTTGGCTATTTATCTTGTTTTTGTGAATGTGCCTGATTGTGTCATGGCCTGGCATAATCGCAGAAGGACATGTGGCATGCAAACCAAATCAAGCGATAACTAAATGGAATGGTATAGTCTCCACATTATGCCCTCAAAGAAGTTGTAGAAACCATGAAGAACTAAGAGCCCGTTTCGTATCCTACTGAGATCCAATTTTATAAACTCAAAAACAAATTTGAAGTCCAAAGCCACAAAAATCTATTTGGTAGACCCATTTTAAAAATCCCAAATCTAAAAAAAAACTCAAAAACACCCCCATTATTAAACTCTCTCTCTCTCTCTCTCTCTCCTCTCTCTCTCTCTCTCTCTCTCTCTTTTTCTTTTGTTAATTTCAATTTAGGAATCCAAGATTTCTAATTTTAATTTTAATTATTTTTTAGATCATAAAATAGTTTGGAGTTCAATACCAAACAAGTTTTTAGATCTTAAAATTAGTATTTAAAAACTCATGTTTTTAAAATAAATCATAATTTTTTAGTTCATTTTTTTGAGTAGGATACCAAAGAGGCCCTAAATATGTCTGCCAATTATAATATTACTCAAATGTCATTTAAGTCAAAACTCCGATGAAGCAAGCCTAGTTTGGCCATCTCCGAGTAAGATGTGTTTTGGGCTTGAAGAGTGGGTGGTGACATTGACGAAGATGGGGGAAGGTTTCCTTCGTATGTAGGCGTCCCACCTCTAGCCTCTAAGTACTTATATTCTTTGGTGATAATCTCTTCACTTGGAGAAACATGAAACAAAAGATCGTTTCAAGATCTAGTGTTGAGGCTGAGTATGAAGGCTTGTCTAGTGGTGTTTGTGAATTACTTTGGATTAGAAACTTTATGACAGACTTGAGGCTTAAACCTGAGAGAAGTATGTACGAGATTCCTTGTGGTAATAAGGCTACTATATATTGATATTGAGCACAATCCTGTACAACATGAGCAAACTAAACATATGGAGATTGACCAACATGTCATTAAGGAGAAGTTGGAGGATGAAGTGCTTGATTTACCATTTGTGAAGTCTAAAAACCAACTTGCTGATATTCTTACTTTTACTGAGACAGTCTGTAGAAGAGTGTTCTACAAATTTTGACAACTTGGACTTACGAAATATTTGTGCACTAAATTGGATTAGGAGATTTGTTTCTTGAGTGGGGTATGTGAGCTTTTTGGCAAGAGGAAGAGAACAGAAGAGAATAATGATGAGAGTATCTGTGAGAGTGCTCGTGTAGGTGTAGCTGGGAAATGATGATTGTGTTTTACTAAAATTGATGAACAGGCGGAGGAGACCAATCTTGAGGGGTCAATTCATTGACCCTCGTAGTGAGGTTCGTAAAGAAAGGCGCTCTAGAGCCCACTCTCGAAGAACCTATTTGATAAGTCCATAAATATACTCATTTCTATACTCTTTTTACTTAGGTTTTGTAGGAGAATTAGATTTAAAAGGGGCTTATTACTTTACTTTTCTGATTTTCAGCTTTTGTGCGCTCTTAGAAGGTTTTTAAGGAAAAATCAACTTTTCGGAGGAATTTTAGCGCAAGGCCAATTGGAGATGAATGCTAACATCTTGAAGTTCAATCTATGATTTTTCTAGAATTTTCTACCAAGCCAATTGATACAGTATTACAAGTAAAGTTAGCCCACGTGCAGACAGGACAGTTTCGTACATGTTACGTGAATGTGAAGAAACGGAAGCCTTCCCGAATTTTCCAAGTTACGTGCTATATATGGTTGGAAAGATAAGACATTTATATTTCTAAAATATATTTTTAATCATTTTTCTACAAGGCCGAATATCCCCAAATCGTGTGACAATTGGGCTGAGCTGTATTTCCATATGGAGTTAGGAATTGTGATTTTTACTTTCCTATTTGGATTCCTTGTTTACAAAGGCTTCTTGGACGACTTTTCAGTCAATCTTAGGGTTTAGAACTCTGATAAAAGTGATATAAAAGGCCAGCCAAGGCCCCTATACAATGGATTCATGTCCAAAAGAGATCAACCGCGCAAGAGGAGAAATCTGCCAACGAGTTCTTTCTTTTCCTTCCTTCTTTTACTTTTCAGTTCTTATGTATTTATTTTTGAGTTCATCCAAGAACATGAGTGACTAATTTCTTGTTAGTTAGGGCTTAATCTTGAAGCCCTAAACATGATTTCAATTTTATAAACAAGTTTGAATGGATTTTCAGTTTCTACAAGCATGATGATTTCGGTTTCTCTATGTTATGTGAATTCTAATATTTTGTTTCTTTGAGTAGTTAACTTTGAAGCATTTATTGGAATTAAATTGTTGTAGAACATAGGTCAATTGCCATATTGAATGTATTATTGTTTGCAACGAATAATTGGGTTAAGAACTAGTTATGAGAAATCGATTCTTGAATTCCTAATAACAAATGCCATGTTTTAGGGTTTTTGTGACACTCATGTTCTCTTTGATCTTAATGGATTCTTGATTGTTAATTTGAGTAAATGTCATACTAGATTTCAATTTAGAATACACGTATTGATGTAAATGCCATACACGCTACATACACTTAAGAGAGAATCATACAACTCGAGTCAAATGCCATGATCATGTTGTGAGTGTCGTCATCATATGCTTGCTAGAAATTGATTATCTGTTGTTGTTTATGGATTGATTGATGGTTTGGAGGTGGATAGTGAGTCCTAGCTATTGTTCTTGATTGATTCTAAACCAATTTCTCTTAAACTCTAATTTAAATTCTGTTTTATTTTCTTTTCCTTGTTTTGTTTTATTCACAAAATCAAATCAAAACCCCCCTGGTGTTGGTGTGTGTGTGGAAGTCATTGTGTTTTAATTTTCGTTGCGTGACATTGATAAACATCTCTTTTGATTACAATCTCTGTGGGATCGACCCTTGCTTGCTTACTATACTATCATTTGATTTGTGCACTTGCAAGGTTTTAATATTGTTGTTAAAAATTACCAACAAGTTTTTGGCGATTCCCATCGAAAAGCCACAAGCGCAGTCCACCAATATGCCGCACAAGCAAGACAACTAAGGAGGTCAGCCCTTGCAAGCTAACGAGGAAGTCAACCAACTGGGCCCGAATCATGAAGGTCACTAGCATGACCTGCAGGCCATGCACGCAGCAGATGTTTAGAAGCTTGCGAATAACCGGCTTCGAGACTTGAAGATCGGAGGAGATTTTGAAGAAGCTCTGCCCAGGGAAGTGGACCAAACAAACTCCTCACCATTCACCTCCGAAATTGAGCACGTTGTCCCCCAAAGCAATTCTCAACGCCTTCTTTCACACACTTCAAATTAGGCCTGGGCATGCTACGATATTGACCACATCCCGCTCCAGATACCGGAATTTTCAAATAACACGGTACGGTATGGGATTGGTGTTTTGGTTTTTTGGTACCAAATCATACCAGAGCTAATCGGTTTCAGTATGACACGGTACCATTTTAGTACCACTATTGCTGAGATCTGAAAAGAGAAAAAAATACTGAGAGAAAAAAAATAGTAACTGGGAGAAAGAAAGTGACAGGGAGGGAAAGAAGAAAGAGAAGATGGATATTATTCGGTACGGTATGACACCAAACGGTATAAGAAATATGAAACCAGTGCTATGTCAAACTGAAACAGTATGATATGGTATCATACCGTTTACACTGCAACACTTAACAACACAGTATGAGATTGGTACAGTTTGGCACGGTTTCGATTTTATTTTGGTTCCCCGGTTTTGATGCGCATCCCTACTTCAAAGGGGATTCCGATCCCGAGAGCCATCTGAAGCACTTCAGAAGTGTTATGATTCTCTACAAGCCCAAAGAGGCGTTGATGTACAAGGTGTTTGCACTTACCTTACTAAGGGTAGCCTACAATTAGTTCCCTACCTTGCCATCCAGGTTGATCAGCAGCTTCAAGGAGCTAGCATTCGTCTTCACAAAGGAGTACACTTCTTATCGGACGATTAAGAAGAACCCTGACCACCTATTCAACCTGCATAAGAAGCATGATAAGTTCCTCCGAGATTACATCAAGAGATTCAAAGCTAAAAAGGCAAAAATCGTAGGTTACGATGACCGGATCGCATCCTCTGCCTTCAAGAAGGGTTTGCCAACCAAGCACGACTTATACCGTGAGCTGACTATCGCTCATAGCCAGACTCTAGTAGAGGTATTCGCGACCGCAGAAGGCTATGCGCTTTAGGATGACCATTGAATCGAAGCAAAAAAGTGTACCAGGCAGGCCGACCAATCAACCGTACAAGTAGGTTAGAGAAGCGACAAGTTCACCAACAAGAGCAGCACCAAGTGCAAGTCACATCCCCAAGGAGACACTCGGGTAGATTTGTTTGTGCAAACATTCTCACGGGAGAATATTTGTGATGAGAGTCTCAAATTACATGTTTTTAATATTATTATTGAGACTTTATGATATAAATTTGGCTTAATAAAGATAATTCCACTTGATGTTACATTTCATTCTCACCAATTGGATTTATGAATTTTCTGTATTTAATTTGGTGAACTTAATAGGTGAATTTATCTTTTGTAGGAAGTTGGAAAGCCAAAATATGAAGATATATATTTGTCAAAGTTTAAGCCAAGTGTGAAGAGAATTGTTCGCAAATTTTATTGAAGAATTGATCGTGGGATTATTGTGATTATAAAGAGAAGTAAAGATGGAGATGAGAAGACACTATGCCAAATTCACTTTTAGCAACACTACATAGGCATCGTAAAATGGAAAATTGATGCTATTAATACATTAGGCATCGATTTTATAAATAACAATACTAAATAGGTAACAAAGACATTAGTACGAATTTTTGGTTTTTTATGACGATACCTTTGATTCCCTTTAGCATCATCTCTCATAATCATAGATGCCTAAAGTGATTTGCCTTTTTTTTTTTTAAAGGGACATTATTTTTTTACAAATTTATAAATAAACCCAATCTTAGACATGTATTTATAAAAAAAACCCAAACACTATTTAAACATAGAAACACACCCAAAATCAACCCCAAAGTCAACAATTGTATATTTTTTGGGTGTGTTTATAAATGGGTTTTGAGTGTGTGTAATGATGAGTTTTGGGTGTATTTATAAAGTGTTTTGGGTGTTGGGTTTTTTTATAATTTCAGCTCCCATTTTGGGTGTTTTAGTGAAACTCCCTTATTTTTTTTTAAAAGCCACAGATGCCTAAAGGGTAGTCAACGCTAGTCCAAAATTTTTCACGCTCTCCCTCTCAAACTCTTTCCCTAGATTTCATCTCCCTCTCAAACTCTCGCCCTAATTTCCATCTCCTTCTCAATTTTTTCAGTCCCTCTCAAACTCTCGCCCTAACTTCCATGTTCCTCTCAATTTTTTCAGTCCCCTCTCCCTCTTATCTTTATTCCAGTTCCTCTCAAACTCGCTCTTTCTTCTCTCTCCTCCATCACTACTTCTTTCTCTCTCAGAAGCTCCGACCAAGGCCAGCGCTTCTGTCAGGGCTAAAGCCCAGCCACCCCTGCTCCTCTCTGAGCCGCGGCGAGCTTCGAAAGGTTCGAGTGAGGTATGGATATCCATCTCCTCATCACGCTCTAGCTGTTAGTGTAATTAGTTTGGGTTAATTTCTAAGTTTTCAAGTTTGATTTTAGGGGCTACTTTGTAAGCTTTTAAAACCAGAGTTAGTGAAAGAAAAAAGGTATATTCCTGTTCCTGTTGTCTGTATATTCTTATTATAGTTTGCCATGATGATGCATGAGAAAACTTCAAATTTTAGTAGTCTTTCTAGTCGGGTAGCGTCCGTCAATGGTTGATAAACCCCTCTAGGAACTCTTCCCTTCTCTCTCTACAGCTCCCTCTCTCTCTAAAATAATTTTTGTCTTGGTGAGTCGTTGGGGGTTTCGTGGAAGAGCTTTTGGGGTTGTGATATTTTTGTGGTGGGTTTGGTTGCAGCACTTGAATTTGCTCCAAAAGATTGTACTCTGACATCAATTTCTTGGGTTTGTTCTACATCTGGTGGAGAGAAAAATGGCAGGTAAGTTCACAGATTTTTTTGTTTATTGTGTTTTATTTTTGTTTCTCTTTCTTAGTTTTGAATGTATGATTTTTTTTGTTTGCTAGCTGAGAAAGCCGTGATAAAGAAAAGAGAATGAGATTCTAAATTTTATGCATTATGTTGATCAGGGCTTCTTTTCTTTTCTAGGATTCCAAAAAGATATGTGCTTTCAAATAGAGCATATATTAGACTTGGGTTTAAAAACTTTGTTTTTTATTAGTTTAACAAGCAACACTGGGTTTGTCCTAAGTTTGTTGACATGTAAATTCTGCAGCAAACTTGGATATATTGTTGATCTGGGTTCTTTTATTAGAGATTTTAAGGCGTATGTTATTTCGGCAGTAGCTAGTAGTACAGATTTGAGGATGCTCAATCAGAGTGCTTTATCAATTCTTATCAATCTACATTTTGAGCTGGTGCATGTGATATATAATCAAGAATAAAAAAAGAATTATTGGGTTTCTTTCATGGGGTTGAATTAGCATATAAGAATTGTGCTCCTCTCCCTTCTCTTCCTCAAATTCTCCTAGATCTCAAACACACCCCAAGGGGGGGGAGCTCTCAAACTTCTCTCTATAGCTCCTCTCCATTCTCTCCCTCAAATTCTCTTAGTTTTCATTTTAGTTCTCAATTGTTGTAATAAAACCCTTTTGCTAAATTTTCCTTTATGTTTTCTGAGTAGTAATTTATTTTTCATTCTAATGTAATTCCTTATTTTAAGTTTTCAAGTTTGATTAGTTTCCAAGTTTCAATTATGGTTCTTGTTCTTATTCATTATGCTTATAAGTTAATATGCTAGTTTGAATGATTGATCACCATTAAAACTTGTATGTTAGCTATCTTGGTTGGAATTAAGAGTAGAGTAGACACCATATGCTTTAATTCGAATTGAACTATGAATAGAAAGAGTATGTATGGACACTTGACAACAGGGATTAGATTCATGCTTGGTTGTCTAAAAAATTCTTCTATGCTTAATGGATTTCTAAGCTTAATTTAGTTTCAACAACAGATGATCAAATTAGGGAATTAGGAATACAAGGTTAGAATTAGACACCATGGCTTAATCATACTTTAGCTAGAATCAATTCGTGAATTTGAATTGAACTTGTTAACTGATTTGCTTGAGTTAGTTATTTTATCTTTTCTTTACATGTTTACTTTCGTCGTTTAAATTTAGTTTATGTTTTCCTTACCTAATCAAAACACCCAATTTCTATTTTGTACATGGAATCGAATTGAATCAATCTATCATCAATCCTCATGGGATTGACCTCGCACTTGCATATGCTATACTACCGAACGGCTCGTGCATTTGCGAATATCACAAGTTGAGGATGTAGCTGAATTAATTTTGGTGTAGTTGATCCAACAACAACAATTACTTGGACTTCCAAGATTATTACTACGTGCACTTGAGTAGACGCAACAAGTTTTTGGCACCGTTGTAGAGGAGCGGTGAAGCGAAAAGTAGCACAAAGAAATTGATTGTTAAGGTTTGAGGTTTTAGTTTCCAAAGCTAATTCGGTAAGGCTTATCAAACACAATTTTTCATTTATGTTATTTATTTTTAAAAATTTTATAATTTTAAAAATTTTGTATTAATTATTGTGTTTTTTGTTTGCTTTTGTCTTAGCTTTTTAAAAAAGAAAAAAAATTAGTTTAGTTTAGTTTATTTATCTTTTTATTTGTTGTTTCTTTATTTTGTTTATGAGATATTGTGATCAGTTTGGTAGATTTGCAAAGAGACCTCAATTTAACCAAACTTCATCACAAATGGCTGAGAACAATAATAATATAATGAATTAGAAGTGCCCCAAAATGATGAAGATAATCATAGTGTTCATAGATTAGAATTTAGCTAATGGCATTCAATTGTGTTGGTTCAGTTTACACCGAAGGAAACATGTGAAAAGTTTACTCGCTAATAAATGATTTGGACTTTGTGGTGGGATTAACTTGAAATGTTAAATAAGTGTTCTCTCTTTTAACGTTGTTCATGAAATGAAAATTCAAACTGTATTTTTGTCCTTTTTGTTGGTGACAGGTGTTGAAACTATTTTTCGAAGTTTATTTTTTTATTTCATGTTTCTGAATAATTGTGCTAGCCTCACACTTGATGTTTGTGGGTGTCATCCCTGGAAACCCTCACGAGACTATAACTCGTCCTTTATGGGTAACCTAAAGGTTTAAAGGCTTGTTGCATACGCTAAATGCAATTGTATCTTGCAAAAGTGGCTTAGCTGTTTTAGTTGTTTTTATTTATTTTGTTTTGTCATTTTTGCTTAAAATTGAGTTTCTTTTAGTTGCTTGGATTGCTAGGGACTAGCAATAAGCTGGTTGGGGGTTCTGATGAGGGTCTCAAATTACATCTTTTTAATATTATTTTGGAGACTTTATGATATAAATTTGGCTTAATAAATATAATTTCACTTGCTGTTACATTTCATTCTCACCAATTGGATTTATGAATGTTCTGTATTTATCTATTTCAATCAAAATTTAGTTATGTTTTCCTTTGTAATGAGTTGCTAGACAATGACCGAATGCTTAGCGACCGAATATCATCTAATAAGTGATAATCAGTTTTAATACATTTTGTGTTTAGAGATATACAATTGATTAAGGGTTAATGACACAAAGAACTTATATTTTTAAACTCGAGATAAGCGTGTGGCAGATATGTTAATGTATAGCTCCCATTATTAATTCCATGCTAAAAAATCATTCATCCGATATAGTGCTTTCCCAGTTGTGCAAAAGAAATTTAAATATCTTTCATAAATATCGCATGTAGAAGTTGTGCTGGAGTAACAAGAGACCATCACACACTGATTGACTTATAGCAAAAGCTAATTGAAAAAAGAAAAAGAGAAGAAGAATCGCTACTTGCATGTAAAGATGAATGACTTTTACATGATTCATGTTGTGTGGATTAGTTTAGTTTTATAATTCCGTTGCTCTCCAGACCCCAGCAATATTTGCCAATTTTCAATTATTGTCTTGCGTGCACAAACCACATTTTACCCGTGAATCATTGTTATTTATTTGCTGTAAGGGTTTACATAACAGTAATTGCATACAGTAGAAGGTAAAAAAATAGAGTCCACCATCAAATACAAGAGCCAGTTAACATGTCTAACACGTGGATTGGTTTGTTCACGTGGAAAACATGGGTATCCCTATTTCCAAAAATATCTCTCTCCTTTATGGCATTAAGCTCCTCTGGCTCCCTTCCACTCCACACTTATATAAAGAGATGTGCATCAATCTTAATTCTCACCACATCTTGAGCCAACAGCAAGGCATGGGTAGTGACGTGAGAGCAAGTCATGAGCTACTCCAAGCACAAGCCCACATTTGGAACCACACTTTTAGCTTCATAAATTCTATGTCCCTCAAATGTGCAGTTCAATTAGATATCCCAGATGTCATCCAAAAACATGGCCAACCCATGACTCTTTCCGAACTTGTCTCCGCCCTACCAATTTCCCCAACAAAAGCTCATTTCATCCCACGCCTCATGCGAATCTTAGTCCACTCCGGCTTCTTTGCCAGCGAAAGTCTGAATGGCGGTGAACAAGGTTATGTACTAACAGACGCCTCCGCACTCCTCCTGAAAGACAATCCCATGAGCGCAAGGCCCTTCTTACTTGCCATGCTCAATCCCATCTTAACTGATCCATGGCAGTATTTGACCACTTGGTTCCAAAATGACAATCCTACCCCGTTTCATGTGGTGCATGGGATGACATTTTGGGATTATGGGAACCAGGACGCGACTCTTGCACATTTTTTCAATGAGGCCATGGCTAGCGATGCCCGGTTGATCTCAAGCTTGATGATTGATGACTGCAAGGGGGTGTTTCAAGGAGTGGATTCGTTGGTTGACGTGGGCGGTGGGACCGGAACCGTGGCCAAGTCCATTGCTGCTGCCTTCCCTCATATGAAATGCACTGTACTTGATCTCCCTCATGTAGTTGCTGACCTAAAAGGGAGTAACAACTTGGAATATGTTGCAGGGGACATGTTTGAGGCTATTCCTGGGGCCGATGCTATTTTTTTGAAGGTAAATCATCTCATCCTTAGTGATATTATATTGTTAAATACAGATTTCCATTTATAATTTTGTTTGGTGATTGTGTATGACAAACAGTGGATATTGCATGACTGGAGTGATGAAGAATGCGTGAAAATACTTGAGCGATGTAAAGAGGCAATTACAAGAGAGGGCAAGAAAGGCAAGGTGATTATCGTAGATATGACGGTGGAGAACAAGAATACAGATAAGGAATCTGGGGAAACACAACTTTTCTTCGATATGGAGATGATGGTCTTGGCTACAGGAAAAGAAAGGAATGAGAAAGAGTGGGCTATGCTCTTTTCTGACGCAGGTTTCAGCCACTATAAGATTACTCCCGGTTTGGGTTTAAGGTCTCTCATTGAGGTTTATCCTTGATTTATAATGAAGCACCTGCTTAATATATTATTTGGGCAGCATGTAGTGTATTGTAATCTTGTTCAG